TAAAGCGGAATTAATGATTAAAATTGCATTTTCAATCTTCCATTAAAGTTGTACTTGCTAAAATGTTATCTCGAATATTTCATATTTTAAATGTTCCAGAAAATTCTATTGATTTGATTTGTTCAATTGATAATTTTAGATAAGAAGCAACAGTTCATATTAGTCAAATATATTTGACAATAATAACAATTTGTTCCAACTTTTCAGAATATGTTTTTTAATAACTAAATCGAAAACTTGAAACAAAAGGATTGTTATATTTTTGTAATGTTAAAATATTTTTTTAAATTGCTGAAGTACGTAAAATAGCAAAAACAAATGAAGCAAATGAAAGCTTTATTATTAATGCACACGTTAGTTGATATGTTCCATTAGTACGCATTGACTGAGATTTTTAGTACACAATTATCCGTTTATAATCTCCCAATTAAAAATCCTTGAAAAATTTTCAAGACCATTTTTATCCATAAAATAAAATATTTCTTGTATTTCTCCTACTTAAAATAACTATGCATGTATGATCCGATTATTATATGATCAAGTTTCTTACTTTCCAGATATTGCAGGTGTAAGAAAAATCTCTTTTTTTCTAAATTAGCAATATGATCAAGTCTTAAAGAAGAGTAATGTTAACATTTTAAAAATGGTGCAAGTTTACCTAAATTATTTGATTATTTATAAAAATAAGGAATCACCTTCATTTATAAATACAACACTAGAATAATGTTAAATCAAACAATCGGTCGATCCAAAGTACTACATACATGTTTTAAATTTTAAAACCTCAAGAAAATTTTTTCGCCACATATTTATGTTTCTTCTGAAATTAATTTAAAAATATGAAAAGAACACACACATATTCATCGATTAATATAAATTCATTCTGAAATAATAAATTTTCTAATATTCAATTAGAACGGTATTTATAAAATCTTCGTTTAGACAGATCCGGTACCAACTCAATAAAGTTTCCTTTCTTTCATAAACGTTCTGTAGCTCAATGAAAATAAAATGAAGAAACACTTACCCATTGTGAATAAGTCACTTTAATTAAAAAATTAATTATATTGTTAAAATAGTCCATGAAATATATTATTTTTAGAAACTCTGACTAAGTAAGCTGTGCAATAAAAGGGATGAGTTGTACTAGTTTATTAACACTATGATAATGTGAGATAAGCACGCTTCTAACGAAATTGTAGACAGATGGTCAAATGTTTGATGTTAAACATAATACATAATGGTGTTATCAGCAATCATTCGAGGCATGAATAGGAGGTACTTAGGAATAACTCATCGAAACGTATAAGAACTATTTTAAAAATATAGTGCAAATATTAGCACCAGTATTAGCTGTATTTCAATTTTACAAAAGAAATTATTAAAAATTATTTTTATTAATGATACGTCCATGTAATACTTATAAAATTTTAAAAAAAGGATGTGTTTTAAGTATAATTTCTACAAATAAAGCATTTTTAGATATGAATGTTTATGTGGATCTTTCTCTTTACGATAGTGAAAATATAATAAAATTATTTATCACATAATGTTTAAATTGAAAGATATCATTCAAAAACCAAAGTACAAAACTCATACATGATTAAACAGTAATTTTATCAGGAGACTCGTCACTTTGTATGGTTTTATTCTGTTTTATAGATTTTCTCACTTTCACTCAGCTCATGCTCATGCAAATGAATAACGATTTATTATGAAATGGACCTTTTGTATTTCCTGCGTAAGATTTTTACCTAAAGCAGTCGAAAAGAGAGACTATAGATTTAAATAAACTGAATTAAGCTTATGGGGCTTATACTGTGTGTGTAGTGCATATAGCTAATATTCCTGAATGGAACATTTCAGATGTACCACGTTTAATTTAGACATAGATAACGATTAATTGAATTTAAATTATTTTCCCCGCTTGCATTTAGCTGTATTGTTCCTTAGTAGTTGGTCGGGTTAATCTGAATTAATTTGTTTTTAATTTACTTTGCACTCTGAAGCAAGCTATTGGCAACAGACCTCATAATTTTGAACCATGGTCAAGTGACAAAGAAAACATCTGAAGTGAGAGTAGTTGATTAGTAAATAATAGCTAACTTCTGTTTTTTTTAAATAAAAAAACTCACATTTTCAATCTTGTTTAATCCCAGGAAAATCAATATAAAATGACCCCAAGAAGAAATTTGGACTCTACATCATTATAATACATTTAAATGTAATCTAAACTTTTAAGTAAGGGAAAAGAGTTTTTGAATACATACATTGTTCTTCGAAATCGGTTCCCAAGATTTTTAAAAATAAAAACGAAATGATGTTTCTTCGTTTTCTGTCTTTAAAAATGTCTTCTTGATTCTTAAAATCTAAACAAATTTAATAAAAGGGTTCTTCTAATTCATTAGAAACTTCAATTAAGATTATCCTTTTAAGATTTGCAATTCAATGTACAATGCAACCTAAATTTCGAATACCAATTGAACTTAATATTTATATCTAAGCTGTCCTCCATAGTACCAAGAGAATATCTATCTGTGTCTGAAAATGTATTAAATTATTCCTCTTTAAACGCACGGATGTTCGTTAACAGCTGTAATGTTTCCCAGGAATTGAAGGGTTGTCCTATTAAATCCGTAATTACTTGCGCTTCGGATATTATTGCAAGTCTATCTTCTAAATTAGAAAGGGTAAACATTCTATAATCATATTAAAATAAATCTCGTTAGAGAAGTTGAAGGCAGTGTAGGCATCTGGGTTACATCTGTCTTTTAAATATTCCAAATCTGTTATATAGGGTGAAGTTTATTTCATTTCTTCAAGAAACTGTCCCGCTTTGTTAGCAAATTCAGATATACTGACCAAAAATTTTTTTTCAAAGACATTCAGCTATGCATTAGTAATGATTATGAAATAACTGGAGAGATGGTAATCGTAAATTTTTTTAAACGATTATTCTTAATTAATCTTTTTCTAGATTTTATTGGTTGTATTTGCGATAAATGTATATTAGAACATTAAAAAATAGTAGAAGATTAGAAAACTTTTCTAGGTATACCTAAAATAGTGTTAAAAAGAAAATTTTGCATTTTTTTTCAGACGTTCTATAAAAACTTTAATTTTTTCCATTCGACTAACATTTCAAAGCTACTAGAGAAATATATTGTTCATCCGTTATGATCAATTCATTTGCTATCAGTGATTTTGATAAAATTAAATTATTTTTACTACAGTGATTAGGAATTTATTCACAACAGCTCTTGTATATATATAATACAGAGAATAAACATCAAAGAAAATTCTTTCTGCAAAAATTGCAAAAATAAACTTCGCAATGAGTACTTAATAAACAGTTTTATGCTTCGCACTTTAACACATTTCATAAGATTCAGCTGAGAAATTTTCATTACAGGGTAACTCAGGTTACATCAGTGAAAATTTCAAAAAATAAAATACAAATGTATGTGATATTTTAATTTATTCAGAAAATACAAGATGGTAATTTCTTGAAAGATTGGATGACTTTCAGGAATAATTATTAAGAGCAAACTTTTACAACAATAAGCATTCGGCACAAACTGTTTGACTTTCAAATGTAGACTCTTAAAACATTATTAGATATTATCCTTGCACATATACTTTATAGTGTGTCGTATATATAATGTTATAGTATATGTACTAGAGAATACATAAAAACAAGTATTTTTGAATATATATTATGAAAATGAATTATATATGTTCTTTTAATGGCATAATTTCTCTTAATATATGTGAGAGCTTTTTGATATTTGTATTAATATATGCATTCAAGCGCGAAAAAAGATAGAACAATTTTTTTAATAAACGATAGGGAGTTTTCTAAAAAGTAAAATTTGTGGACTATAATCTTTTCTATAGACACATGAAACGCAATATACACTTTATAACACAAAAAGCTAAGCACAAAGTAAGAATAATCCAAACAGGACAATGTATCGGTAGATGTGATGCATATGTACTGAAAACAATAAAATTAACAATATCAAAGGAATTGAATGTTTTATTTAAGAGACAAATACTATACAAGAAGACAAAAAGAAACTAATAACGGATCAACCTACCACTGGTCCTGATGCAAGTTGGACCAGGGCATTATCGAGTACAGTGGTGGATCTCCTCTTGCAATATTGCTTGCTATACATGCCCCAATTTACCAGTGCAAATTACAGCGATGCGACTTCATGATTGTGGGAGACGCCTGCTTATTAGAACCCAGAAGTGTCATATCAAGAAGAGATCTGGTGGGCACCGCTCAAGGAAACGTTGGAGAAGCATGAAGATAAACAGTAGTAAAATGTGATATGTGCATCCGAGCTTTATCGTAATGAAATGTAAACCTAAGAGTTTATGAAAAAAGGGAAGCAGTACACAGGGAGCAGAATTTTGTTGACATATCTCCGAATTATAAGGGTGCCACGGATGACAACCAAACGGGAGAGATTATCAAATGAAATGGCATTCCATACTACAAATACTGGTTATCAGGCTGTTGGGCGAACGAAAGTCACAGGGGTATTCTCTCCATTACTATGCTGGACAGCTTTAGACCTTTTTTGGTCATATCGTATTTCAAAACGGGAATGATCGCAGAGGAAAATTTTACGCTAGTTCGTGGAATTCCAAATTAAATGCGTTCGGCACCATTGAAAACGTGGTTGGCGGTATGCAAGAGGGGACGGGAAAGGGGAAATATTTTGCCCACAGACCTCTGAGGGCTTTGTTCACATTCCCTTGAACATTTATTGATGGCCATTTTAATTATTGGTGACCTGGCTACACCGGTGACAGAATCACAATATTAAGTGACGAAATAGAAAGCGATTTCCTTGCAATTTTCCATTTTCCTTTCTATGTTGGAAGACAATTTTTTGCTTGTTTTGTACTGTTTATTTATTAATTAAATTTAGTTATTCAAATAAAACAATATCGTAAAAAAGAAATCACATTCTCAGAAATCAGGCTATCCCGGGTGGGATTCGAACCCACGACCTCTGGATTAGAAGTCCAACGCGCTATCGATTGCGCTACAGGGGCACAACAACCGATTTTCCTTTCTATGTATGCTGTTAGGCTATTATTTTTGTTGCTGCTATTTTTTAAATTTAATTAATGAATTAATATTTGAAAAAACTGTATTAACATCAAATGACCCACTACAAGTTTTAAAAAAATAAAAGCAGTGTTCATGTATTATGCTTCAATATTAATTGCCATCCTTATTTTCTATTCCTTATAATGACATTTCAAGCATTTTCTTAAGTTACAAAAGTAATTTTAATTTCAAAATATTTTTACGTTGTTTTACTGAACATAATATAATTTTGTATTACATTTTTTCATTTACATACCACTTCTTATAAAAATATTTCTTCAATATGAAAAATATTTCACACACATATGTAAAATAATGAACAAAAAATAATTAACCATATATTATATTTGATAAATATAATAAAACTGATAATCTTTAATTTTTTTTTAAAAAAAAGATAGTTTAAAATGTTAAAAATAAATAAAATAATTAGACACTTATCAATTTCATTTGTTATGTTATACGTTTATTTTATCAATGCACATATAAATGTTAGAATTTTTTGATTCTGAAGAATATGCACTATTTCTTAAAGCTGCAATAGTCCGAGCAACGCAAAGAAATTTCGAAACAAAATATTTTACTGGAAGAGAAAGGCCGTGCGACGCCGGGTCATACAGCTAGTTCCATATATGGTCCAAATACTCCATTAAAATGCGTTATTCAGTAATTAGTCGCCAATAGTTAATCATTTGTCGTAAACTTGGTTCATTATTTTCAAGTGCCTCATTTCAAAGTACATCATTTTTTTTTTTTTTGGAATGTTGAGGGTAAAAAAATTGAGATTTCATTAAACTAGGTAGCGAAGATAGTCTTATAGAGTGTCCTTATCTTTTTACAAATAAAATGCATCATTTATTTAATTGACGCCGTGTTCATTTATTTGAGAAACTTTGCTTTATACTACAGGATATGTTTTTCATTTAAAATGGCATCATGCCATTAATTTAATATTTTAAATGATTATTATTTATCAAAATTCTTTCGAATCTATGCAAAAACAATATATATACATGTAAAATTCATAAATATACACAAAATAGTTATGAACCTAAGATAACTAGTCAAGATAGTAAAAACTATTAGCCACAGTAGTACTGTACCAAACTCCTAGTCTTAGGAACCAGGATTTCAGGTTTAAGCAAAGTTTTGTGGCTAGCCAACCATCACCTATATTAGCCAATATTCTGGGCCATAGGGAAAATAAGACATGTCAAGTGAAGTTTAACTATTACAAATAAAACCAAAATCTATTAATATAAAACGATAAAATTATAGCCTATAATAATTATTAGTATATGTTAAAATCAATGCTAAAACAATTAGATGAAAAAACTTACCACGGAGTACAGCAATATTCATTTTTCCCGTGCAACAGAAAGGAGTATATCAGTAAAGCATAAAATTAGTAAGTTATGATAAAATAACATTAAGTCTATATGTATACGTTTAAAAACTCTAAATATTGTTTTAAAATTCATAGACAATAAAAGTACTATCCAGACATATACAATTAATTTTAAATAAAATATATCATTACTAATTTATTTAACACGTGGCGCCATCTATCGATTGACTGTACAGCTAAGTAAAATGCTATTGTTATTACTATATATATATGCTACTTATGCTATATATATACACACTGAAAAGCCAAAAAGATTGGTACACCTGCTTAATATCGTTTAGCGCCCCCTAGAGCACGCAGAAGGGCAGCAACACGACGTGGCATGGATTCGATTAATGTCTGATGTAGTGCCGGAGGTAATTGATACCATGAATCCTGCAAGGCTGCCCATAAATCAGTAGGAACAGGAGGGGGTGGAGATCTCTTCTTAACAACACGTTGCAAGGCATCCTAGATATATTCAATGATGCTCATGCCTGGGGGTTTGGGTGGCCAGCGGAAGTGTCTGAATTCAGAAGAGTTCTCCTAGAGCCACTCTGTAGCAATTCTGGATGTGTGGGGGGGGCCACATTGTCCTGCTGAAATTCCCCAAGTCCATCGGAATGCACAATGGATATCAATGGGTGCAGGTGATCAGACAGGATGCTTACGTATCTGTCACCTGTCAGAGTGGTATCTAGACATATCAGGGGTCCCATATCACGCCAACTGCACACGCCCCATACCATCAGAGAGCCTCCACCAGCTTGCAGAGTCCCCTGTTGACATGTAGGGTCCATGAATTCATGAGGTTGTCTCCATACCCGTACACATTCATCAGCTCTATTCAAATGTAAACGAGACTCGTCAGAATAGGCAACGTGTCATCAGCAGTCCAGTCATCAACAGTCTAATGTCAGTGATGACTGGCCCAGGCTTTGTGTCGTGCAGTCAACAAGAATACATGAGTGGGCCTTCGGCTCCAAAAGCCTATATCAAAGACGTTTTGTTTAATGGTTCACATAGTGAAACTTGTTGATGGCCCAACATTAAAATATGCAGCAATTTGCAGAAGGGTTGCACGTCTGTCCCGCTAAATGATTCTCGTCATTCGTCGTTGGTCTCATTCTTGCATGATTTTTTTCCGGTCGTAGCGATGTCTTAGATTTGGTGTTTAACCGAATGGTATTACGTGAAAATTGAAATTCCATCGCTACTTCGGAGATGCTATGTCCCATCTCTCAAGCGCCGACTGTAACACCATGTTCAAACTCACTGAAATTTCGATAACCTGCTATTGTAGCAGCAGTAACATATCTAACAATTGTGCCAGACACTAATATACAAAAAAAATAGTTATATACCTAAGATAACTATAGTCATGATAGAATAGATTTAGTCACAGAAATACTAGAGCAAACTCTTGGCCTTATATATAGAGAGAGTAATATATTAACCTGCATATAGTACACCTACAATACTGTTTAAAATATAATGTAACTAGCATACTTTGTTTTTATAAATTTTAAAATATGACTATTGATCAAAAGTAATAATCAATAAGTAAAAAATAAATAAATAAAAAGCTTTATAGCACAATAACTCCATTCAAAGTTACCAAATTTATGCGTATAAACATAAATGTAGAAACGTTGAATAGTTTTATTATGTACAAGCAAATTGATTAATACATGTCCTTTAAAAATAATTTTATAATATGGTCGTTGAACATTAAATGAAACCTCAGACTATATAAGTGTAATTGCGTAATTTTCGTAAAGGTTGAGAAAGGCATACAACCCATATTCCTCACCTGTGCTCCCGAACTTCAAAGAAAAGAGGAAAAATCTTTTTAAATTATGCAGTATATCTTAAAACGTTAAAGCATGTACCATTCCTGTGTTAATTAATGTGAATACAAATTTATGTAAATAATTATTGTACCATAATAAAATTTCAAACTTCAAAATAACAAATAGTTAATTCGGAAATTTAAAGGATTGTTATATCTAAGTAATCAGTAAGTTAAAACAGTAAACTTATCTAGCTGTGCAGCTAACTATATAGTATAGCTACAGAGCTATTTTGTTAAGATAAGCTAGATTCGCGGGAAATTTAGGAATTCTTCGACTTTAAAAAAACATTGTCATTGATTAATACCGTAAAGGAGCAATAAAAAAATTGTGTGTGTGCTTGTGACTACACGAGCAGTGAGTGAAAAAGTGAAAAACATCTGATTTATTCTGGACAAAATAAACTAATTGTTCAGATGTACTACGTTTTCTTTCCCAATATTTTCGTTGTGAGGGTCAAGTAGTTCTCTTTTTCGTGCTCATTTGTCCGACGGTTTATTTATTTCATCCATTCTCTGAAAAGGGCAATGTTTAAATAGTTATGCATTCTTATATATTTATATATGAATTTATACAATATAAATGTCAATTAGTCCAATTATTTAAAAATATTTGCACGTATATATATATAACATAAAATTCTCGTGTCACAGTGTTTGTAACCAAATTCCTCCGAAATGGTGTAGCCGATTCTTATGAAATTTTGTGCGTATATTCAGAAGGTCTGAGAATAGGACGTAAATTATTTTTCATTCCAATATTGTAATTAGTTAAAAGATATTAATTAAAAACCTTAAAACGCTTAATTGTCTTAACCCTGCGCGTTATTTTTTCCGCCTAGCGTCGTGAATGAATTAAGGGGGAAATTTTTCGGTATTCTAGACGTTATTTAAACAGCCATCCGATTTTTGTTTTTTCAATCAGACAAAAAATAATTACAGAATCGGAAAGATCATTTCTTTCTCCACGTTGCAGTATAATTTTTTTTGCAAAATAATAATATGTTCTATTTTTTAAGATTTTTTTTAAAAAAATAGTTAAAATTGATGCGTTTTTATGAAATTTATTTCGAAATTTTTGTGTATGAATTTATTTTTGTGTTATGAAAACGATATTCTACACTAAATAACTTCAAGCCTTTTCCTTTTAGAACGAGTCATTTAAAAAATAAAATGCCTAAAACTTTTTTTTAAAGATTTTTCGAAAAATTGTCGAAATTTTTAACTTAACAATGAATAACTTAGTTATTTATTAAGATTATCATACGAAACTTTTGTTGCGTTTGTAGAATAATGTTATCAAACTTCTGTGCGAAGATTGAAAAATTGCTTAAAAATTACGGATTTAAAAAAAAATTGTGATTTTTGTAAAATAACGTTATTGCAAAAAATAATCTAAACAGTATTTTTTGTACATTTTTTTTATTTAAAAGTCCTTCGTTTTCGAAATTAATGTGTGAAGTTTGAAAGCATTAACTTAAAAATTAAGCCTTAAAAAATAAAAACTTTAATAAAAAATACGCGATTTTACAGTTTGCCAAGCCTTGGCGTCGAAAAATGGTTTCGCGCTAAATAGCTTTCAACTGTTTCATCTGAAACTTCACATCTAACTCAAGGGTTACACCAAAAAGTTCTGACTTAAACATGCGAAAATCAGCAAATTTGGCGAGTAAAAAAAGTGCGAGTGAAAAAGTTATTTTTCC